AATATCCCTCTCCTGATCTTTACTTTCCCTCTCCCAGTGTTTCTCCTCCAGATGTCAATTCGACTCTCCATGTCTTCATTGATTTCTCCAATGTTCTTTTTACATTGTCTGCAACTCCAAATCACTCCATACATTGCTTGATCCACGAATGTGGGACCATATCGTAGGCTTTTTTGTAATCAATCCAACGTACAGCGAGATTAGTCAGTCTCCTTCTGTAGTTTTTGAGGATCATTTTGTCGATCATAAGCTGATCCTTTGTCCCTCTACATCCTCTACGACAACCTTTTTGTTCTGGCGGCAGAATCTGCTCCTCCTACAGATGATTGTACACACTTTGTCCAATAATTCCTGTCAAAAGTTTCCACATCAGAGGCAAGCACGTTATTGGGCGGTTGTTTGATACTAGACCACTTTTGCTTTGGTCTTTCAGTATTAGGCATGTTCGACCTTTTGTCATCCACTCAGGTACTACACCCATCTCTAAACAACCATTTAGTTGTTCTCTCATGTAGGTTTGCAAAGTTCCCTATCCAGTAGCTGTGTACGCCATCTGGTCCACTACTTTTCCAGTTAGGTGACTTCTTCACCTATTTTTTTACATCCTCTACGTTTATTTTGATATCATCCTGTCTTTTAATATCTTTGCACTTTTCCTCAATATCTCTCATCCACTCAGCTTTCTCATTCTGCCTTACATCTTGTCGCCATATTCCATTCCAGAATGTTGTACTCTCTTCCGCATTGGGCTTGACATCAATTCCTCTTTCCATCCCCACTAGTTTCTCGAACAAAAGCCTCTGATTTGTTTCAAACAGCCTATTTTTATGAAAAGTATCATTTCTAGCATCATACTTTCTAATTTGCCTTTATTGCCTTCACTCTCTGTTTCAGTTCCTCAATTACTGTTCATACTCCCTTATTCTTTACGAAATACTTTTTCTGAAGTCTTACTTTCCAGTATTTACTTTCCAATTTATCTAGCCTTCATTGTTCCAATCTGGTGATGTTACTCTCTATATCCTTAATTTGTTTTTTCATCCTCCCCCTCCAAAAAGGTTCCTGCTCCTTTCCAGTTCTCTTTTCCTTCCTTCCAACAAGATCAGCCACAACGTTTGTTCCAGCTAATATAAGGAGATTGGTTCCGTTTAAATCTACCGTGATCTAATCAATGAGCAGGAAGCAGATTATGATAAAGTCAAGCTCGTCAATTTATCCTTGAGTACCCTCGGAGTTTTTGGCCGATCTTCTGAAAATTTCGATGGCATGCTAAGTAGCCTTAAATGTGATGCCAAGTATAGTAAATACATAAAAAAGCAAATCGTGAACATATGTATACGAACATCATATTATGTATTTTGTAAACGAAACAAGGTGTGGGATAACCAAAATTAATGTTAATATAATCCTTCTTAAAATAATTATTGTACAATAAATATATAGTATCAATTCAAGTAGACATTGATAAACTACCTGTAAAGCGAGGTTTATCTTTGTAGTTGTATATATCCTAATAATCAATAAATAAAGTTTCCATTATTATTATTATTATTATAATAATGCCTTAAACAGGGCTGCTGCCCTTCATAATTCCAGTGTCCTCTGCCCATCTATTGCAGTCTACGCCATCAACACGTACAGACTACCGTCACGATTGTTTGTAGTGGGTGGGCAGGAGTTGAAATCTTCGGAAGGAACAACACAGGGTGACCCTTGTCAACGGCCATCTACGCAATTAGTCTTCAGCCACTCATCAGACACCTCCATGTTGTAAGTTCTGCCAAGCAGTGCTGGTTTGCAGACGATGCAAGTAGTGCAGGGTCTGTAACAGAGGTAAACAAGTGGTGGGATACGTTATCTGAAATCGGGCCTGATTATGGTTTTTACCCAAAAGGTGAGAAAATGTTGGTTGATCGTAAAACCGCAGAAAGAAAATATTGCAAGAGGGTCATTTGGGGAAACAACAATTGACATAACAACGCAAGGACGGAAACATCTAGGAGCAGCTGTGGGATCACGGTCATATTTGGTTGAATATGTTAATGAGAAAGTCGAGGGATGGTTAGAAGAAGTAACCAAGCTAGCCAAATTTGCGGTGTCACAACCTCAAGCGAGCTACGCGGTACATATGTTTGGTCTGAAACACCGATGGACATATTTTCTCCGAACATTACCAGACATCCAAGATTTGATACAACCTTTAGAGATGCAATTTCCAACATCTTTCTACCGGCGTTGACAAATCATGAATGCACCCAGCTCGAACGCGTCATTCTCGCTTTACCCGTACGAAATGGTGGTCTAGGAATTCCAAATCCATGTCATGAAGCAACGAAGGAATACGCAGCCTCTATGCAAGTAACAGGTTCACTAGTACGTCAAATTGAATCACAAATGCATGAATTACCTGACCAATCGGACGTACAAGCACTGAAAAGGAAAGCAAGGCAAGTGAAAAATGAAATCGCAAAAGAGAAAGCTGATCTGATTATCAACTCAGTATCGCCAAAATCAAAACGTATGCTAGACCTTGCCTCAGAAAAAGGAGCTTCTGCTTGGCTACAAGCTTAAGTTCTGCCAATTTCAGATATGGGTTTCAATTTGAACAAGCAAGAGTTTAAGGATGCTTTGAAGCTGAGATACGATTGGCCACTTAGTGATATCCCATCAAACTGCGTATGTGGAGTGCCTTTCAACGTAGACCATGCTATGATATGCGGTCGAGGGGGGTTTATTATTATTATTATTATTATTAAGTCTTTATTAAACATAGCCACAACAGACGTGTGACTTTACATTTAAAATTCTCATGTACAAGGTTCCAAAAAAAAAAAATAAACTTAATTATTATTATGTATCTAAGTTAATTATTCTTAGGTAGAATTCTTAAAAAGACTAAGACTAAGTTATTATTATGTATCTAAGTTAATTATTTTAGCTAAAATTATTAAAAAAACACCTATTTAAAAACGACCGTTTGAATCTTTCTGTTTTAACCTTAGGTAATATGAAATCGTGTTCGCGTTCTCTTAACGGTCTTTGTCTTTTAGGAGGAAGTAGTTCGTATAAAGGGTGGTCTGGGTTGCTACATATTTTTTCAAATAAACTCATGTCTCTTTCTTTAATCACATCAATTATCTGAACACTTTTTGTTGTGTATCCATATCTGTATGCTCGCCTAAGAAATTTATCAATCCGTTCCAGGTACTTCTTTTCAAGTGCAGAACCCCATACTTCGATTCCATAAGAAAATAAAGACATAATAAGTGCGTCGAAGAGAATTGTTAAATTTTTTTTAGAGTAGCCATACGATCTGCATATTCTCAAGATGTGCATTCGACTACTAGCTTTAGATATCAAATTATTAACTTGAAGGTCCCAACAATTTGGATCATTCTGCAGTGTGGTTCCCAATAGTTTCAGCCAAGTCTTGCGTTCGATACCCGTTATTGGTTCTGGTAAAGGATTTGTTGATTTGCCACTTACAACCATTTCCCATGTTTTACCTAGATTTAATGACATTCTGTTTGTTTCCGTCCATTTTTCAATATTGTCTACCTCAGCTAGTGCGGAGTCATAATTATTTTTCACTGGAGCGCTAACAGTCATATCATCTGCAAATTTGACTAGTATGTTGTTATTTGGATCTTTGACTGTTAGATCATTTATCATTAAGGAAAATAGAAATGGTCCAAGAACTGTTCCTTGCGGTACTCCTTTGTTTATGTCTACATAATTTGTTTTTATTCCGTTTACTATTACTCTTTGTCTCCTATCAGTCAAAAAATTTCTAATCCAATTTATTACATATGGATTAATGTTGGTTTTTCCTAGCTTCTTGCAAATGATGTTGTGAGAAACGAAATCAAAGGCTTTCTTGAGATCGAATGAAATCACCCTGACATGATCAACATCACCATCCAGCCAATTTAGCCATTTATGGTGACACATAATAAGAGCATCAGTTGCGCTGGTACCTTCCTTATATGCGAATTGGTCAGATTTTATTAATTGTTTTAGTTCTGATGAGATCTCTTTTTTAATTATTATTCAACACCAAAACCAATTACGGGATTTAGAAGCTGAGCATCTAAACATTGTTTGTAATGATGTTCAGATTGAACCTACTCTACAAGAAATAAATGGTGAACCATTAAACCCAGGCGCAAATCGTTCACTTGACGCTCGACTTGACGTACATGCACGTGGCTTTTGGGAGAGGCAAAGGTCTACATTCGTTGATATCCGGGTTTGCCACCCAAATGCAGAGTCCTACCGTGACCTAACTCCTGTACAGATCGATTCTCCGGTGAACAAGTACGTCCGAAAATGGCTGGAAATACCTATGTCTGGAACATTAAGTAACATTTTTCTAAGCCGTAATAAGTTTGATCATTATTATTATGCCCTCGAGGGAGTCGGACGTGTCTTTCGTTGCTCCTGCAGGGTGTTAATGTTTTAACGATTTTGTTATCTGGTACAGATTTTATTTCAATTTTTATTGGATCTTTTATCGTATTCTTGTTGCCTATTTGAGTCTGGGTAGAAATTGCCTGTCTTTCATGATGAAAACGGTATTATTCTGGCTCTTCGTGTTGGTGGTTTGCACTTATTGCCACGTTGACTTTAAAAGTATTGGTCGTCATGCTTGGCGTTGTAAAGCGGAGAAGCTTAATAATCGCGAAAGTGTTAACGAAAGAAACGAGCAGCCTACGCTGATTGATCGTAGTTCAGTGCAAGAAACGCATAATACAAACGAAGCTGTTTTGAGAAATCAAGGTAGAATTTCAAATGTTGATGGTGTCCATTGCTGTTGTGGGAAGAAATGTAAAAATTTTAGAGGTCTTAAAACCCATCAAAGATCGTGTCCATTTGTTAAAGGTATGAATGATGAACTTTTGTTTGAGGAGAGTGAAGTTAACAATCTAGACGATGATTTATCTGTCGAACTTGACGGCCTTATTTTGGATGATACTCCTGGTCTTAAGCTGGATGTTAAATTGCCTAAAAACGAAAGTCAATGGAGGGAAGCGGACTTGTATTTTAGAGCGGAATTACCAATATGTGATGTCAACGAAAAATCAATAAACGAATGTTCGATCAAAATGTCAAATTTAGTCTATGATTATTTTGCTGAAAATTTCGGGACAGTGAATAAGAAAAATGCTCTTGACGAAGAATTTGACAAGAAGTATGCTAATTATACTAAGCAAGAGTTGAAACGTGAATTGAAAGCATTGAAGCATCAATATATCACTGCTGTGAATAACATTAGGTACGTTTTAAAACTATTACGTAACTTAGCTTCGAAAAAAGGATCTTCCTCCGGTTTAAATTCCCTCAATGATGACGAAGAAATTAAAAAAAACTTTTGGCGTTATACGAAAATGAAACTTGATTTTGGAAAGAAACTTTTGCCGACCTTTAACTTGTCAAGCTGTACAAATTACTTTATTACCATGTGGAAACGTTTATTGCCCACGCATACTTTCACAATACCTAACTGGATACCCTCATTATCGACACCTACGCATAAATTTAATTCAGATCCTCCTACTTATGCAAGAATAACCTCAATTATTAGAAGAATGAAAGCTAATGGCTCAGCTTGCCCGTTGGACCAATTTTCTATAATCCCGTTAAAAAAATCTGCATACCTTAGATCGTAGTTAACTGCTATAATTCAAAACGTTTGGAAGTTGGGTGACATACCGGATATTTGGAAGAAAGCAGTTAGCATTTTGATTCATAAAAAAGATTCCCCCGATGAGCCTAATAACTTTAGACCGATTACTTTGCAGCCAGTTCCATTGAAAATTTTCATGTCTATCTTGCGTAATACGATGTACGAATTCCTGTTAATGAATAATTTCATTGAAAGCAGCATTCAAAAAGGTTTTACCCCTGGAATGTCTGGTACATTTGAACACACAGCACACTTAGCATTTCTAATCAAGCAAGCAAAAAAACAACAGCGTTCTCTAACAGTAACTTTGTTGGATCTAAAAAATGCTTTTGGCGAGGTTCACCATCGACTAATCTCCACTATGTTGCAATACCATCATATCCCGGAGCATTTTCGGAAATGCGTTGAAAATGTATACAACAACTTTTATTCATCTGTGGTTACTGATGCATACCAAACGCCTTTCATCAGAGTTAACAGAGGTGTTTTGCAAGGCTGTTGTCTTAGCCCGTTGTTGTTTAACATGCTAGTCAATACCTATATTCAATATATCAAGTCTGATAGATTTATTCAACTTGGCTTCACGTCTTCACAACCCCTTCAAAGGCCAAACGGCATTGGTTTCAATTTGCCGACGATTAATTGCGGCTATTACATCTGGTGAGGAAGTTGAGGAGTACGAAGCTCAAATTCTACTGAACGCTTTTACTGCTTGGTGCTCATGGGCCAAAATGACTTTGCGGATTGATAAGTGTAAAACTTTTGGGATTTCTAAATTGAACTCTACAAGCTCCCAATTCCTTCCAAAATTATATCTAAATCAGTGTATGATTCCTATACAGTAAAGCGTAATGAAAGTTTCTGTTATCTTGGTCGTTACTATAATTTTGCTATGGATAATTCTGATCACAAACGTTTGCTGTTCGAGGAGACTGAGGAAATTCTGGGAAAAATTGATCGACTTGCATTACACCCAAAGTTTAAGTTACAATTGTATATGAAATATTTGTTACCTAAAATCTCCTGGCATCTGACAATTGCGGACATTGATAAAACCTGGGTACGACATACATTAGATATGATGTGTCACAACAAATTCCGTGAATGGCTTGAAATACCTCCCTGTGGTACTTTAGATATTTTACTACTTGCTAAATCCAAATTTGGTCTGAACATAATAGATATATCGGCGAAATTCACACAATGTCAAGTTATTTTATACCCTGGTTCCAGAGGTTTACAATAAACCTCTGGTTGAAAGCGGCAATTGATTCATCGAGCCGCGCCAATCAGTTTGAATTAGGGTCAGATCCTGACTCTGTCTCCTGATTGGATGATTGTATTAAAGCTCTCTGATTGATTCAAATAAAACATCTATATCCAATCAGAGAGCTTTAATACAATCATCCAATCAGGAGACAGAGTCAGGATCTGACCCTAATTCAAACTGATTGGCGCGGCTCGATGAATCAATTGCCGCTTTCAACCAGAGGTTTATTTTTCCTCTCCTCTTCGCAATGAAAATAATAAAAATAAACCTCTGGAAGCAGGGTAGTTATTTTAAGAAGCAAGTCAGTGAAAAACTCAAGTTCACCTGACATTCGGCAAGTGTACCAAGCCAGTAGTACAAATACTAATGTTCAGTACGATCATTATCTCAAGCCGAAGGAAGTTATTCAAGAAATCCGGGCAGAAAAAGTTGCAAACATCACATATAATTTAACTTCACAAAGTTTAATTATAAAATCGCTTTGGAATGAGGCCTTTCCTGAGATGGTTAAAGATTGGCATGCTACTATAGACAAACTACCCAAGAACATTTACAACTTTGTCACGAGATATTTGAATAACACCGATTGCCTACCTTAATTGAAGAACATGCTTCTCTGGAATAAAACATCTAGCAATCTTTGCAAGGCGTGCTCAAACGTGCAAACCTTACAACATGTCGTGTCCTCTTGTAAGATCCATCTGGACGAAGGGCGCTACACTTGGCGTCACAACTCGATTCTTAAACATCTTGTCGAGTATTTATCGAGCGTTAAGAAAGATTTACGCTTTTACGCTGATGTCGAAGGCTTCGAAAATCCATCAGTTGTAACTGGATTTGATGACCGACCGGATATGATCATTGAGAACTACACCAATCGAGCAATTTACGCAATTGAATTGACTGTTGGATTTGAGACTAACATTACTAAAAATTGTATTAGGAAAACAACACGCTATAGGAATCTTTGTAATGCTTTGAAGCAACGATATAATACCGTTGAGTATCTCAATTTATCAATGGGGGCTATTGGTGTAATTGGAATAGAGTGTAAAAAGATTTATGGCTTTTTAGAGAATGTAATGAACTTAGACATACTTCAAAGAAACGTTTTAATTAGAACACTATGTGGAGTTTGCATTAGGACTGCGTACTTTCTGTTTTGCATGAGAGACAGGGAATGGAATGACCCAGAACTTTTATATTGGTAATCTTGACTTTTATCACCATATTGTAAACACTTTTAAATCTCTCTGTACCATAACAGCATCCTCGATGCCTACATATATATTGTAGTGAGTGCTGGTTGCCTTGTTTTTAACTATGTAAAATCATTATTTAATAAATGTTTCCATTATTATTATTATTATTATTATTATTATTATTATTATTATTATTAAGGTGACTGTCTTAGTCCTCTACTATTTAATATGTGTTTCAACACATATATTCAGCATATCAAAGCTGAAAAGTACCGTCAGTTCGGTTTCTCCCTCCAACTTCTTAATCCAATCCACTGGTTTCAGTTTGCCGATGATGCTGCGGTTATTACTGGTCAAGAGTCGGAAAATCAACATCTCCTTAATCGATTCTCTATCTGGTGTCAATGGTCCAACATGGTTGTTAGAGTTGATAAATGTAGCACATTTGGCATCAAAAAAGTTTTATCAAAATCTGCCCAGTATCTGCCGAAGCTTTTGATCAATAAGGATCTCATACCAACGATTAAGACTGGAGAATCATTTGAGTATTTGGGACGACATTTCGACTTTAACATGACTAATGAAAAACATAAATCTGAAGTGATTTCCCTCATTGATGAACTAATGTCCGAAATAGATCTTAAACCTCTTCACCCAAAAAACAAAATTTTACTTTACAGTCGTTATGTTTTGTCAAAGCTATCCTGGCATTTTACTGTTGCTACGATATCTAAAACTTGGGTAGTCGAAAATATCGATTCTTTGGTGAACAAGTACATCCGAAAATGGCTGGAAGTACCTATATCTGGAACACTAAGTAACGTTAATTTCTAACCCGTAATAAGTTTGGTCTAAATATCCTCCCTGCATCAGTCAAATTCATTCAGTGTCAAACAGTTCTACGCAATGCCCTGAAAACATCTCCAAACGATTCAATAAACGAACTGTGGAAGTCAACTAATAATCATATTAACATTCAATACGATAGCTACAACTCAACTAAAGAAGTTTTAAAAACTTTCCGTTCTCAACAAGAAAATAAACTTAGGAACCGTTTGAAATGTCAAGGTTCCTTTTTCGAGAATGTTTCTAAATTCTCGCTATCACAACTTAACGCAATCTGGTCGGTATCGCAATCAAAGCTACCAAAGAACATTTTCAACTTTACAATTCGCTATATAAATAATACCCTTCCTATCCGAAAGAACCTCAGTAGATGGGGAATTTCATCAAGTTCTGACTGCTCGTTCTGCTTACACCCTGAATCACTTCTACACGTTGTTGCCGGTTGTCAACATTACCTGGAACGATTTACTTGGAGACACGATTGCATACTAAACCTTCTTGCTAAAACTTTTCAAAGTTTAAACGAATGCAAATTACATGTTGATCTTCCTGGATTTGAAAGCCCCTCGATTATTATACGGGAGATGAATATCGTCCTGATTTACTTGTCTCCACTTCAGACAAACATCTCTACGTCGTTGAACTTACCGTAGGCTTTGAATCAAACCTCACAAACAATGTTAACCGCAAGAAAGCTAAATATAAAAACCTAATTAGAGAACTGGATCAAAACTTTACATCTGTCAAATTTATAAATCTTTCTGTCAGTTCGCTAGGAGTGTTTGACAAAGAATGTCATACATTCGTAAAAATGCTAAATGAGTTAGGACTGGATAATCAACACCAACAATATTGTATCAGAAAAATTATATCTGTTGCCATCCGATCAACGTACTACATATTTTGCTGTTGAAATAAAGAATGGACAAATCCCGAACTAATGAACATTTAAAGTAACTATTTCTGTAAATAAGTAGTAATTTTTGTATATAAAATTATAACCATGCACGTATAAGTGATTCAAGTAGTCAATTGTAGGTTACCTCAAGAAGTGAGATTTACAATTGTATATATCTATAAATGTTCTATTAATAAAGTTTTCATTATTATTATTATTTTCTAAAATTTTACATTAAGTAGTTAAACACTAAATTATAATGCGAATTACAGTTAAAAATGAGAATATATATCCTATACACTACTCTATTTACAGGAATACGGCTTATTTCAATCTAAAAACACTCATTAATAATTCATAAGCTTATTGGCAAATCATGTCAACCATAATATGTCACCGGCATGCAGTGGCTTTAAACCTGATAAAACACTCCTAATTAGTATTCCTTATATAAAGAATACTAATAAGGCAGTATCTATTGTAGTCGTGTCCTCATTGGTATTCTTTATATAAAGAATACTAATAAGGCAGTATATATCTATTGAATTTGCATGTAGTCGTGTTTGAAGCCGTTTAATAAACTCGCAGGTCGTGTTTCATTAGGTCTAAAGCCACTCGCCCTGCGCGCTCGTGTCTTTAAACCTAATAAAACACTCCTACTCGTTTATTAATTAAACAATACTTTAAAAACTGACTACTATTAACTATTTAACAAATATAAAACATTTTCCGTGTTGATATACAGTTATATCAACACGAGTGGAAATTGGGAAAACGAGAAATTGTAGGGAAACACGACGCCCGAAGGGCGGAGTGTTTTCACACAATTTCGAGTTTTCCCAATTTCCACGAGTGTTGATATAACTATATATCAATACGGAAAAAATGTTTTATATTTGTTTTATAATATAGCACAAAGAAATATAAATAAAGAAATTTTCCGACGTTTCCGTCTTGACATTGCGTTATATCAACACGGCTCTTAGCCAATCAGCGTTCAGAATTTACAAATGCTATATTATAATAAGAATTATTACTATTATATTGTTCGACTCGTTAAAATTTACGTTAAAATTATAAAACTTATCTCCACTTAATCTTGTTTCTCTATTCCTAATTTCACAAGCTTTAGGTGGCAACAATTCAGGCAGTTTATGACCAGGGTCCAGGCCCGTGCCACCTGAGGGTGTCGGGGGTTGTCGAAGGTAACACCCCAAGAAAGTAAAAAAGGGCGGCCCAAGGGCGGCCCTGGCATGCTGGAACTGCAAAATTTGTAAAAAATGAAGGATTTTTGCGCTGAATTATAGAATTTTTTTGAGGGGGGCCTGGAATGGAAGAGGGCCCAAATTTTGGAATACACCCCCCCCCCAACCAGACACCGGTTGGCACGGCCCTGCCAGGGTCCTTAATAAGATTAATACACATGTCTTGTCTACGACCTTCTAGAGTTTTGAGATTACATTTCACCAAGGCTTCTTCATATGATAACTCAGGAAGCATTATTCGAAGAGCTCGTTTTTGAATTCGCTCAATATCTGACTTATTTGCTCTGCATTTGTTGGATTGCCATGCCAAATATGTGCATACTCAAGGGCTGATCTGATAACAGACGTGTAAAAGGCTTTCAAATCTTCCATTGGAGCATTATAATTCCTCAAACAAAATTTTTTAGAGCGAACAAGCCTTTTGCTGCTTTCTTTACCAAACATTTGACATTAGTTTTCCACTTTAGGTTGTCAACTTGTCATCGATCCACATGCCCAATAATTTATATGATTTAACTCTTTCAAACATGTGTCCATTTACTTCCAACGGTGGGATGACAGATTTGTTCTTTCGAAAGTCAATAACCATCTCTTTAGCGTCATTTTTTCATCTTCAGTAAATTTAAATTTAACAACCCTATTAATTTTCCTCAATAAACCACCTATCGGCATGCCAGATACCTGACGTATATCATTACCTAGTTCTGTGTAGTGAGACCTCTCGTTTAAACTATGTTGTAAACCATTTGATTAGCGCCATTCTAACGCCTATAAAACTTCATTTTTTCTAGGACAATGTTATGGTCAAAAAGGTCAAATGCTTTCTTAAAGTCAAGAAAAATAATTCGAATTATTCTATTTGCTGTGTCCATTACCTCATACCACTTGTGCATTAATAAGGGACCGGTCATTATTTATGGAAGGGGGAGGGAAAAAATAAGGAGGGGGGGGGGCATATGTATAAATAAATGACTAGGGGGGAGGCTTTTAATTTTTTTCAAGAAAATGAGGGGGGGGTACAATTAAATTTGAAGGAATTTGCTTAATAAGCGTGGTATCCATTTGGTTGTAAATGTTGCGACTAAATCACGGTCACTGATGTGAAATAGTCTGGATTTATCTTGTCTTCTGTATGCTGTATGCAAATCAGTCTTTACCTGATTGCAGAGATAAATTGACAATGTATTATTACATCAGCTATCTTGATGTGGTTAAATACATTTAATTTAGCAAGGTTAACGGCGGATGTATTATGCAGGCCACATCCGCTGAGCTGTGACGTCATATCGATCAAAGGGGGTTGTTTCGCGCCTTGTGACCAGTGCTTCGGTCTGGGTATTCATTCTGCCATTGTATGCTTTGCCTAGCTGCAGCAAGTTTAGCGCTTTGATACCTTTCCCCCACCCACCCATGTTTATTCTAGAGGATTTTATCTGATAGTATGTCATTTTTAATCTCACATAAAATAGGATGTATAGACCACTATACATTGTATTTCGTTTCCACTGACTTGTCAGTGTGATTTGTGCCGGAGGTATGCCTTGGCAGTTGGCAGAATTGTCATGGCTATCTCCTTTTGCTGCTAATATTACTGATTGTTCCATAAATAATGACCGGTCCTAAGGCCAAAGATGTTGACCCATGTTTTGCCATGTTAATTCAAAGGATTTTTGTATTTTCGATAAGACACTAGTAAGTGCTATCGGTCTAAGATTGTCTACAGTTGAACAATTAAGGTGAACTTTTGGGAATGCCTTTTAATTTATATTGTTTCCATATCTTTGGGAAGTACTTTCGTCTAAATGAATCGTTAAAAATCTCCGTCAGTGGAACTGCCAATACATCTGCAAATTCCTTCAAGATTTTTAAAACAGGGTCATTTGGCCCCGTGGCTTTATTAATATTAATTTTCATAAGCTGTTTTCGGACATCTTCTACACTGACGCTTGGGAGACTATCCGGACATTCTAAATCGATTCATTCCTCGTTTATCCGGGGATAATCCTTAGTAAGATCCGCGAAGAAATCATTTAATGATAGTGACTGACTGATTATTATTCAATTCAAGTTCTGTTTCCGGATCTCTAATGTAACACTGTCTTTTCCTTTCCAGTAAGGCGTTTAATTTGTTTCCACTATGATTTCGAACAAGCAGTTTGACCTTCTTATCATAGAAAATAGATTTAGCTTTCATAATATCTTTTGACACTTACAGTGCCCTTAATAGTCTAAAGAGCACGATTTTACCACTACTATATGCCGTGTTCCTTTTAACTATTAATGATTTTATTTTGTTCGTAATAAACGCTTTATCTTTACGGTGCCTTCTAGTTGTACTTTCCGGAAAAAAATTTTTAACCATAGACTTTACGATCGTAATAAATCTATTCACTTTCTCGTCAATTTTCCCCCCATATAGAATCTGATGCCAATCGTAATTCTCTAAAACAGATCTAAAAGCACTCATGTTTGCTTGCCTCATGTCCCTTCGCTTTACTTTTAGGACCCTGTCCTTCGTAGCCTACTATAACGAGAGCCTCTGGGCTTCCATGATCCATATCACTATACAGTAGTCAGATGTGGATAACCGGGTGCTAAGATGCAGGGAACTTGATAAAAATCTGCAATGTTCGTAAATATTAGGTCAAGTCGTTGTAGCTTTCTTTAATTCTTGACAACTTGTTTAAGATTACAACGTGCTTTGAGACATCGATTCTGAAAACCATTACTTGTTGGGTTGAAGTCTTTCGCAACAATAAATGCTGAGTTCGGGCTTTCCAAACATATATAGTTTATCATAGAAACTTTCAATATCGGTTTGGCAT